CAGGGTTGACTCAGCCTTCCATCCTTCCGAGGTGGGTAAAATGAGGACCCAGATTGTTGGGGGCAATATGCTGACTCTCTGTAAACCGCTTAGAGAGGCCGAAAGGCCTATGAAGCGGTATATAAGTCTACTGCTATTGCTATCCGGAAGTTCAGAAACAATCTGTTTTCAGCTTCCAGAGGCCCTCTGGGGGGCAAGGGGAGGCCGTTTTCACCCTCCCCAGGCTTTAGGAAATCCTCCAGAGCATGGGAAGGGGTTGTATGCGCATCCATGCTGGGAACGTCATGTGCACATGTGCAGGTGGGTGGGGAAGATTGAATTGGTGTGGGCACGTGGGTGCGCCAATAACGTGCACACACACACAAACAATTTTGGCATGCCATAAGAAAAAGGTTCGCCATCACTGACATAGGTTGTTAACTGAACCCAGCTTCCCCCATTGAGTGTGCTTGTCGCACAGAAGGGAAGGAACAAACCATGATCACCTGGGATTCTGCAACTGATTCTGCAACATATGGTTGCCAAGCCCCCAAATTTTATTCACATGACCATGGGGATGCTGCAACAGTCATAAGTGTGAGGACAAGTTGAAAGCCACTTTTTTCAGTGCTGTGATAACTTCAAACACTTACTAAAAGAATGGTTGTAAGTCAAGAACTACCTCTAATGTCTACCTAGTCTTATGACTTGATTATAATTATTTTTTAAGGAAATGGCTTTGATATAAGAGAAAACATGTGGGAAAGATACCTAATCTTTTAAAAATATATATATTTTGCTTCCCTGTTCCTGTTGGCTATTCGTAAGGCAGTTTTTCCTCTTCAAAGTTTTAAAGACACGAGGGCCACATAGGATGGACTTTGTAATACTTGCAATATGAATTTTGTAGTATCGTTGCACTAGATAACTAACATGGGTCTTCTTGATTTGCTTTATTTCTCCTCCTCTCTCTTTTCAATGTATTCTTAACAATTGGCCATAAGTCTAACCTATCAAGAAGAATGTACAAGCTTTATTGTAGAAACTAGGACCGACAAACTCTTTGATATATTATAAATACTTTCGTTTTCAGCTGTTCCCAAGCCTCGATCAATGAAGCAAGCATTTGAGCCCATTCAAAGTGCTGGGAAAACATTATGAATGTATCTTTGCATTTAAAGTGCATTGTACATTCATTTACATTACCCTCAGATAGGAGATTTCTTGATTTTCCTCCATGGAACACAGCTTGGTCCACCTGGCCTGGAAATCACCTGTTGTACAGTCTGATCCCTCTCAGCTCTTTTGAGTTCCACTCTTCTTCTTCTTCTTGTTAACTGTGTAATGATGTCCAACCCATCGCAACCCCATGGACAACGTTCCTCCAGGCCTTCCTGTCCTCTACCAACCTATGGAGTCCATTTAAGCTCACGCCAACTGCTTTGGTGACTCCATCCAGCCACCTCATTCTCTGACGTCCCCTTCTTCTTTTGCCCTCAATCTTTCCCAGCATTAGGCTTTTCTCCAGTGAGTTCTTTTCTTTATTTCCTAAGAAGAGTTCCATTCTTAGTGCTGAGAAAAAAAGTTGTATCATCTTTAGCATCTTGGACTTCTAAGAAAAGGCTGGCTGGAAACATGTTTTGCTTGAGGCAAAGTTACTATCTGTTTCCCCTTCTGAAGAATGGTGTAGAAAGTTCTGGACTGATACTTAGATCTTGGATACTAGCAAGGGGAGGAGTAGCTTTCCCTGTATCTGAAAAGCAACCTAGATTAGGCAGCCAGTACAGGTAGTCGCTGACTCAACTGGGATAGATCCTCCTCATTACATAGTTGCATAGCTGCTAAGTGCAGGGAGATGTTAACAGCTGTTTGGATTGCTAAACATATGTGCAGGTCATTAAGCAGAGCACAGGAGCCTCAGGGGCCTCAGGGGAGGCCCTGGGAGGCTTAGTGCAGGCCCTACCTGCCTGAGGTACCCTGTACTCTGCTTCCAGTCCCTCAAGGGCCCTTATGGAGCCGAGGTGGCGCAGTGGTTAAATGCAGCACTGCAGGCTACTTCAGCTGACTGCAGTTCAGCTGTTCAAATCTCACCGGCTCAAGATTGATTCAGCCTTCCATTCTTCCGAGGTGGGTAAAATGAGGACCCGGGGGCAATATGCTGACTCTGTAAACCGCTTAGAGAGGGCTGAAAGCCCTATGAAGCGATATATAAGTCTAACTGCTATTGCTATTGCTACAAGTCAGGGCCTGTTTTCCACCTCATCAGGTCTCTCCCACCCATGTCACCCATTGCACACTTAATTTTTGAAGCACTCTGGAACTCGGGTTAGGGAAGGAGGGCATGCTACTCTAGTCCTAAGTCACATGGTGCAATACGAGAAAGTGGCCACCGTTTCTGAATTATGACCCTGCCTCATTTTCTGCTCCCCTCCCATCCTCAAGCATTTGCCACCAGAGACCATCTGCCTTATTCTAGCAGACGAGCCCAGCTTTTGACATCATCATATCTAATGTTCTGACATGCAGCTTATTCCTGAATTCACAATGCACGTTCACTTTAAGGCAATTCCACAAATAATGAATAACATTGTCTTTATTTGTATCTACAAATATTTTCCTTCATTGGTAACAGCATCTTTGATTACATTTTTGTACTAGATTTAGATATAAAAAGCCTTGTTTGCCCTAGCTGTCCAATTAGCACACGAACTAAAGAATAAACAATTTGCAAAAAAAAAAAAATCTTAATGCTTTTACAAAGGAGAGAGAGGCAGGTGGCAAAACTACTGCCACCTCATTTTTAATTTGTTCTTCTCAATTAAGTCTGTGTTTAAAATGCTGCTTATTAATTCTGCTGTCGTTTTGTATTTTGTAAAATTTCCCCTGTGTGTTTGATGAGGCGTCTCCAGAGGGAGCTAAAAGCTTGTGGGAAGAACGTATTGAATGTTAACATGTTCAAGCTAATCTATTTACTAGAATGAATTATTACCTTGATTAAAATATTCTGCCCAATTCAATAATTATATTCTATTTAGGTGAAAACCAGGAATCCTAGTGGTTAGACTTCTAGGATTTCAAAATACATCATTGTTTTAATATTTGAATGTTACTCTCTTTAATTTTTGGAAGTACAATCTGTATTATTCTCTTTAAATCGGGCTGAGCTTGGGAACTGTTCCCAAAGCCTACATAAAAAAAGCAAATTGTTAAATACATAGCTTATTCACTGTATGTAAGTTTAGTTATATTTAAATTAGGTTAAGTAGATTCAGGTTTTCTCCTGGTCCTACTTGCATTTTTATCTTTTTTGTAATATGGCTTTCAATATGCTAAGTGTTGGTTCTCAATTCAGAAAACAATTGTAACTTTAAAGATTTTAGATTTAGGTATGTTGCATAGATTACATGATGTTCATAGGTGGAGAAGACAGGAGGCGCTCAAAAATGGAATCAGTGGTGTACACTGCTGTTATGACCTAATTTACATGGGGATATATGGACAGGTATTCATCATATTTAGCCTCATTTTCTTTTGACTTCCCCCAATACTTATTCAATATATTAAAGACGCACCTGGAATACTGAACCTGGGGATATTCTTTGAGTATATGACCAGAAAAAAAACAAGAGACAAAGGGGTGGAGAGATAATTTGGGCAGGCTTCAGCTGAAATGATGTCACTCGCTTCAAAAAGCAGTACAAGCATTGCACGCATGCAAAGCCGGACAAATATTTTTGGCATTTACTATTCCACTAACAAAAAAAAAAGTATAAGTCATACTACAGTATGTGGGCCAAGAATTCCTATTGAAAGGGCGAAGGGTCCCTTGCTTCCCATGTTGCAGAGAACAAAACATTTCCACCATTACTGGTGCATGAAGGGGGACGACGACAACAAGTCTTTGACAGCTGCTGCTTGTGTCCCCCGCTGAGCTTAATTGGCACCACCAGGAGCTGAGCTGAGCCATTCAGTCAATAAAGAGAAGAGCTGCCTGGCCTTGAATTCCATTGTGAAGAAATCTGAAGGTTGGTGGGAAGCAGGCCAGCAGTGGAAATTCTGCTCCACAATTCTTAAGGCGGGGTTAGAGGGATAGAGAGAGGAAGCAGTACAAAATGCCTGCATGACAGGCTGCGTAGATTTACAATAGGAGAGAATAATCTCGCCCAACCATTAGACTGTGGCTGGATGGTCTGCATATGACATCATGTTAGGACTGCAGCCATACTAGGCATTGGATTTTAAAGAAACAGGTACAGAGAAATACCAAATCTGGCTTTTTTTTTTCCTCTCAGAGAGTGAGTTTTTCTCCATGAAATATCCAGGTCTCCTAAAACGCAATACCCATAGCCAATATGCACTCTGCTGCACATTTCAGAGCTAAGGGCATAATCATAATCATAGAATCATCAGAGGAGCTTGGTTGCTCATTAGGTTATGATGCTGGGCTGATGATTGGCAGGCTCATGTTTGAGACCCAATTGCTGCTGCGGGGTGGGGTCAGCCCCTGTGATACGCTCCACCTCCTGCCAATCCAACAGTTCAAAAGTGCATGATCGCAAGTAGATAAATGGGTACCACTTCAATGGGCAACTTAATGGGGATATGAAAGGAGCCCCCAATTGGGCATCCCCCAGGCAATTGTGATGTCACAATTCAATCCTTTCAAACCAGAAGCACTTCAGTGCTTCTGACACAACTGTAGTTGTATCAGAAGCCTTCTAATGCAACAACCCACTGCCCAGGACAAGTATTCTCATCCTTTCCAAAGCAAATTTCCAGTCTTTTTATTTAAAACCTAGGTGATGGAGCACCCATGATTATTCCACTACTTAACAGTTCTCACAATTGGGAGATTCTTCCTTCTTTTGAATGGGATCTCCTTCTGTAAACGTTCCAACCATCTGTTTCATTTAGGGATCCCTAAAGAATAAATCCATAATCTCTTTCCTCTGACAACTCTTCAAGTCTTGGAAGGCTGCTATCAGTTCTCCTGTTAGCTTTCTCTTCTTTAGATTAAGCATGCTTAGTAGAAATGTCCACCATTATCAATTTTAATCGAACAACTCCTTTGTCCTTTTATAGATTTTCCTCTTTTGTACAACAAGAGAAGTGGATTGTCTTCAAAGGACACTTCTGCCAATCTTCAGCAAGAGTTTGAGGACAGTTGCTTTAAGACAGAGGTAGGTGACCAAAAGAGGGCAGCACACTGTTTTGAACCTGCTCTATCATTACTACTATTATTATTTTTGTTAACGTACATTGTTTAACATTTAAGGGAACAATGTTAAAACACTGTGAGATAGATTTGCCATTCAGAAGGCTTCACTCGATGTTACAACATTTGCACTGTGCATCCAAGGGCATCATTGCACTTGAAATATGGTATTGGAAAGGGAAAATGACTGTTCCTTGCAGTATCATTTGTCATACATGGATTAGCAGACTATAAACATTTCAGTGGAGATGTTGGAAATTGTCCTCTTACATCCCTGAGTTTTGATGTTAGCAGACAGGGACACTTCATAAGCCAATCAGTCCCCCAGCACACATTTGTTGTAATTGCTTGTAGAGTGAGTAATTAACTATACAGCTCTTCTATTAACTTCTTGAAGGGTGCATCTGCTCTTGGCCTTCAGGGATCCAGGCTCTTCTTTCCTCAAATTTGAAACCTTTTATCCTGCAAGAGCATTGAATACTGTTTTGAGTTCCAGTGAGGCAAAATCTCTCCCAACCCTGTATCTCTACCCCTGTCAGATAGCCGATTCTTAATAACAGAATCATAGAGTTGGAAAGAACCTTTGAGATCTTCTAGTCCAATCCTCTGCTCAAGCAAGAGACTCTACACCCGTTATGGCAAACCTATGGCATGCATGCCACCGGTGTCACGTGGAGCCCTCTCTGTGGACACGCAAGCTGTTGCCCCAGCTGAGCTCTACCAGGCATGTGTGTGCACCTCCCACCGACCAGCTGATTTTCAGGTCTCTGCTGCGCATGCGTGGGGGCAGAGTGCGTGTGCATTTGTGGGGGGTGCAGCACCTCCCCCGTGGCCATTTTTGATCCCAAGAGGCTTTAGGGACCCCGCTAACCCCAAAATGGGGTATGGGGGTGATGCACATGTGCGAGGGAGAGCACAGGGGGGTCTTGTGCATGCATTGCATTAGGTCTGTCGGCATGTGACGATAAAAAGGTTAGCCATCCTTACTCTATACAATTTCAGACAAATGATTGTCTGATCTTAATTGGTTGGACAACCAATAGTTGGACAATATTGGTTGTCCAATGTTACTATGCTTTTCTCCAAATACCATAATATGAATTCTATAATCATAAAGTTGGAAGGGACTGAAGGGATGATCAAGTCTGACTCCCTATATAATCCAGGATTTAGCACAACAATCCTGAGTCCATGCTGTATTCTGATTTATGAGACACAACAACAACAACAACAACAACAGCAACAACAACAAGGCTGGTGTCCTTTGTGCTATTCTACACTTGGTTGATCTGTAAAAAGCAGACTATGTACTTATGGGGGGAAACAATTTGATGAAAATGTCAGTGGATTTTTATAATGGTATCAACCTAAGGGAAGAAACAAGTTTTGACAGACAATTAAATCCAGGGTTGTAATCATCTGTCAAAACCTGTTCCCAATATATAACTAATGAGTGCATAGTAGAGAAGCTATTTCTGCTTGGTATAGCAAGCCCTCTTCCTTTATTAGATAGCATTTAACCATCCCAGGTGTGGAAGATCTGCAGAATCGGTAAAGTAGGTGGCTTTTGTTCTCTTGCTTTTCTAGGAACTAATGGATGACCAGCAGTGTTTGATCTGTAGGACCAGTGGGTGCTTCCCAGGAGATAGTAGATATTCTGCACAGGCCCTGATTTTAAACACAGATCTGTGGGACAGAACAAGGATGTTTTTAAAAATAGCTCCCTCCACTTATTTTACCAACCCAAATGATAGGTGAGACATGTCTCTCTGTGCATGTGTCAAAGCAGAAACAGCTAAACAAGCTGTGTCTCTGGTGGGCAAGAGCAATGTTTTCAGTGTTGTGACCTACAAAGATCATTATCGGGGCATCTTCATACCATGAGGGGCTAGTAGGATGTGAGGATAAAACCATACCCTTCTTTTTCACTACATTTGCTTCTTCGTTCAATTTTCTCCTGAAGAGTTCCTGTTAGTGCCTCCTTTTCTGTATCTGATACAGCTTCATCCTCTCTCATCAGTTGAAGTATGGCTATCCTTCTGTCCTGGGGTCCCCCCTCCACAAGCCAATTATGAGCCTATGGTTGCTACATATATATGCCAGGAATACAAACAAATCACAAATATGGTGGGTCACAACTGCAGAAGCTTGCCTAATACTCTGTCCTAAGGCTTGTTTTTAAAGATCATGGGAGCAGAAAGATTCCCGTCTCATGTAGGATAGGAAATTGTGGATTTAATTTAGACAAACTATTTTTTAAAAAATAATTATCGCTTCAGCTTCCCTGTTGAACCTCTCAGATGGCTTTCCCTGTTCACTTGCTCACTTCTATGCCTAGTAACTCCACATCTACCTCGCACAAAAGTACAAATGGTTAGATTCTGCCCATTATGTTCCCTCGCCCCATACCAGGGGTATCCACAGGGCATGGTTTAAAAAAATCAAGATGGTAGCTGCTCTAGCTCTACCCTGCAGACATCCTTGTGATGTTCATACTTTCTCTTCCCCTTCCCCACCCCATTCACCCACTGTTGCTCTTCCATTTTTTCTCCATCACATTTTCAGTTGCTTTCTCTCAAATTCAACTCCTTTCTTATGTGTCTGTTTTTCCAGCCCTACCTTTATTTCCCTTCCTCCTTCTCCAGTCTCCTGACAACCCTTTCCACTCTATTTTCCCGGAGGTTCTTGAGCATTAGCATCCTCTTTTTCCATTTTTCCAGCTGCTCCCCTTCAAATATTTGCCACAGTAGTTGATGGATTCTTCAACACCCCCCTTTTCCCAAAATGTGAAAGTGTTCCACTTCAGTCTGGCACCTTTCCAACAAGGTTGGTGAAGAATGTTAGCCTAGCTAGCTTATCTTACAAAACAGCAGGGTAGCAAACCTGCTTTTGTTCTGTTTTGTTTTCACTCGCATGGATGCACTCAGGGTGGGCAGGCTATGAAAAAAGTACACAAAAACAGATTGACGTTGCTTTCTTCCATGTCTCAACTCCAGGAAAGACATCATTATATTGTCTGATAATTTTTCTAAGAATTACCTTTGAAAAATTCTGGACACTGTTAATAGCCTCTGACTTTGCCAATTGCACCAGGTTTAAGAAGCCAAGATGTAGTATCTATTTGAAAGCCAATTTCTTTCATCACAGAATTTTTTTTAAAAAAATATTAAAAATTCAAATAGAACATTTGCAAGTTGTTGCTTGGAGATGGACCAGTTTCATTCCATAGAATTTTCTGCAACCAGCATTCCTAGGAGCTGTTTCAGAATTTGTATAACACATTTGTTGGTATAATAAATATACTGCAAACAGAAAAATCATGACAAAATAAATGAAAAAGAATCCCCTATATTTTTCAATTAATTAAAAAAAAACATATGTCTGTCTCAACAGTATGGTAATACATGCGATATTATACATGAGTTTTGCTTTTACAAGAACGTAACTATAAACTTTTTAGTTTCTTGAAAATGGGG